TCTAGACGCAGCCAGCCCAATCGAACCCCAATTGGAGCCTGAGAATCAAGAGGCCTTCCGAAAAATGGCTGATAGACTGAGCTTTCCCTCGCCTCCATCAGGGAACGCTGCGCGGATTTAAACAGGTTTCCCTGGTGCAGCGCCCACGGACCACGGAAATCATGAACAGTGGGCAACGCCTTAGGACAATGGGATTACGGTTGACTTTTTCTTCTTCTTCCTTTTGCTCAGCCCTTATTTCCACATTTTCTGTTAGGGACATCAAACAGCTAGGCAATAAAAAAATAATGGTTTTCTTTAGTTTTATTTTTTGCTTGCAAAAATAGACATCAGTCAGACTGAAGCTGCAGAGATGCAGGAGACCAGTCATTACTCAGAACTTACACGTTTTACAAGTGCAGACCCTTCTGAAACCAGCGCAGTAAATAAACTGGGGGTGGGGTGGGGGGACACGGACGGACGGACTGGGGGGGACGGGGGAGTGGTTTACTCAGGAAAAGCCAGCGAGAGACTCATGCACCCCATGAGCGACTTACCAGCCTGGCCTGGGAGAAAAAGAAGTCTTTGGCCAGCCTCACAGCAATTGCGAGAGGCCTTCCAAAAGTCCAAGGGGGAAAGACGGCAAGTTCAGGTGCGCAGAGGGCACGCAGGGCAGGTGGACAGACCTCCCTCCACCTTTGTCGCAGTCAATATGGGACCAGAGGGCAGAGGCAGACGTGCTAACCAGTATCCAGAACTGGTTCCAGTTCAAGTCCCACCCTGCCGCACCCCCAGGGGGTACGGGATCCAGCCCAAGCTTCCAAGAATGTGGTCCCTTCTCACCCTGACCTCGCAGGGGTGCCGTGTCCCCAGTTCTCAGAGCAGGCGGTCAGCCTGGTGAGCCACCAAGAAAAGGACTGAGGGTCCACCGGGAAAGGACGCATGTGTTGTAGTATGTGTGTGTGTGTGTGTGTGTGTGTGTGTGTGTGTGTGTTGTGGTGTGTATGTGTTGTAGTGTATGGTGTGTGGTGTGGTTGTGTATGTGGTGCAGAGTGTGTATTTGGTGTGGAGTGTGTGTATGGTGTTATGTATTTGGTGTATGTATTGTGGTGTTTGAGTGTGTGGGGGGTATGTGCATGTGGTGTGTATTTGGTGTGGGGTGTGTGCATGTGGTGTTGTGATTTGGTATGTGATATGTGTGTATTGTGGTGTTTGGGGTATGTATGTATGTGGTGTGGTATCTGTATGTGGCATGTTTGGTGTGTGTGTGTGTATTGTGGTGTGGTATGCATATGTGGTATGTATGTGGGGGGGTGGTGGTTATGTGTGGTGTGTGTGCGCATGTGTGTGGCACTTTCCACTCCTGCTCCCACCTCTGTGGTCCTGGACGCCCTGGGCGGGCAGCCTGCACTAGCCCACAGGCCCACAGACACAGGGGGGCTGGAGGAGGGTGTCCTAGGGGTGCATTGTTCCGTGGGACAAGATGCATACAAGGAGCTGCATCTCTGAACTTCGGACAAAATTCTCCACGTGGCCTCCAGCCACCACCCTTAGCACAGCTCACGGACACTCACAGGCCACGCAGGCACCGCCTCCTTTAATGCCCGCAAACACGGGTGGCGTCCTCTTACTACTGGAGGGAGGGAGGAAGTGAAACCGCTCAGGGAAGCACACTGGTGGTTTGCTTCATGGTCCTTCAATCGGACGCAGAAGGACTTACTGAATGCGGCCATTAATGAGTGCTGAATCCGTCACACAACGCAGGCCTTCCTCACGGACTCTCTCACCGGCTTCCTTTCAACGAAGGAGGCTGGGGGCGCGATGCGCTGCTAACAGCAAGGTCAGCAGTTCAAACCCACAGCTGCTCCTGGTGAGGAGGACGGAGCTGTGAGCTGCTGTACAGAGAGATGGACGGTCTGGAAAACCCAGGGGCAGTTCTGATCTGCCCTACAGGCAATTGGCATCAACAGGATAGCAGGGGGGTTGGTTCTTGAGTTCTTCCCGTTGTCATACACGGTCCTCGTCTTCATCCTTAGACCGTGTCTGGGGCCTTCTCACCTGCTTTTCTGGATCACAGCTCCCAGTGGCCCGCCTGCTCCTGCTACATGTGTCTCCGTGTGTCATCAGTGCAGGTGTTACAGGTAGAAAAAGGACAATGACTCAAACTGGCAGCCGATGATGCTTCCTAAGGTCTGACTGGACGGGTCACCCTCTGGGCCCCATCTGCCAGGAGGATGGCCAGTGCCGCACCCTCTGGGCCACAGGGCTCCTCTCCCAAATACCGAGAGCAGAGAGGCCCAGGGGGAAGTGTGAGCACCTGGGGAATATAATGAAGGCACAGGGAGGGGTTTGGGGGTGGTAGTTTACAAATCTGAAATTATTCCAACATTTTAAAAGTGATTTTGTTTTTTGAAAAGCTTGGGCGATATTCTGCTATTTAACCTATCCTTTTCTGACAAGCATGAACTATGCAAAGGAATTGGACAGTGTGGATCAATTCAAGTTATGGATAACGCTGCACAGCATGGGGGTTCCGGAACGCTGAACTGTGCTCATGCCGAACCTGTGCACGGACCGAGACTCAGGCTAACAGGCTAAGGGGACATGGCGTGGCTTAAAATCAGCAATGGTAGGTGTCAGGGTTGTATTCTTTCACTGTAGCTATTCAATCCGAGTGCTGCATGACTCATCAAAAAGGCTGCGCTATATGAAGAAGAATGTGGCATCAGGACTGCGGGAAGACGGACTGACCACCTGGAGCATGCTCAGGACGCAACCTCCTGGAAGTGAGGCAGACTG